GCTTAATTCGAATTTGGTAAACCTCATTCTACAAGGAGTAACACCAAATTCGAAATAACTATTTCGAATTAAGTGCTGTGTAGACACTTAATTTGAAATAGGGGGCCACCAGCCCTTCCCAGGGAGCCCTGGTGGCCACTCTGGGCACAACCAGGAGAACTTACTCTCCTCTCCCCCAGCCCTGGAGCTATTAAAGGGGTAGACCTGGGCCACAGTGCCTGTGCCAACTCCAAGCCTACCAGCCCAGAGCCAGCAGTGGCCACCGGGCCCCTGACCCAGTGACCCCAAAACATGAGCCAACAAGCCACTGGCAGGCAGCCCTCCACCGCTCCCCTTCCAACCCTCCCACCCCAGAGCCAGTAGTGGCAACCGGGGCCCCTGACCCAGTGGCCCCAAAACATGAGCCAGCAAACCAGTGCCAGCCAGCCCTCCACCACTCCCCAGGAGCAGTCTGCCAGCTCCCAGGAGCCTGACAGGGGCCGGAGAAGGTCAGGGTGGAAATCATGGACCTTATTTGGTTTTGGAGAGGATGCCCCAGGGTCCATGATCTCTGCACTAGATGGAGGAATGCGGCCATCTATGGCAGGATAGTTGCCAGCCTGGCCACCAAAGGCCACATGCGAACCCAGGAGCAGGTTTGCATGAAAATCAAGTTGGCCCAGCGAGACCCCCACCCCTGGGCCCTGAGCTTCCCCTCCCCTGCCTTCCCCTTGTTTCCCCCTTCCAGCTACCTCCTCCCAGGTTTCCCCCTTCCTACTCACACCCTTTCTCTTCCCCTCTCCCACCTTCTTTTCCCAGTCTCCCCAGAGGTTCATCCTCCCTCCCCCAGTTTTGTTCAATAAACCCAGTTTCTGTTTTTGAACATATATGACTTTTGTGGGGGCTAGGGAGTGATAAGTGGAAGGACATGAGGGAGGACTGAGGAACGAGCACCTGGTGGGGAGAGCCAGGATGGCCCTGAGGACTCCTCAGGGTGGATGCTCTCCCGCAAGGCCTCCTGGATTCTAACAGCCCACCGATAGACCCCCCCCGGATGGCAGCCTGCAGCAAGTGCAGCTGGGCTGATGGCAACGACCCCATGGGATGCACTGGTGTGCCCAGGGGCACTTCTGGCTGCATGTGGCCAAGTGCTGTGGTGTCCCTAGTGCGGGCATTCAGGGCACTCCAAGACAGGACTGCTTTGCTGTCCCTCATCAAGATAGATGAGCAAGTGGGGAACCCTGAGAACTGTCTGACCGGGGGTAGGGGTAGGGTCACTTTAAGCATGGAGCTCAGTTAGCCTCAGGCAGCAGCCCCACACACTAAGGATATGTCTACACTTCAGCACTAATTCGAACTAACTTAGTTCGAATTAGTTAATTCGAACTGAGCTAATTTGAATTAGTGCATCTAGACTTAAAAACTAGTTTGAATTAGTGTTATGCTAATTCGAACTAGCATGTCCACACTGAGTGGACCCTGAACTGAGGTTAAGGATGGCTGCAAGCAGTGGAATATGTAATCTGTCAAATGGTTGAAGTGTATGAAGTGTATGAAGTGCATGAGGAAGTGTGAATAAGAAACTGTCAATCATAAGGCAGTACCACATATGTTACCTTTTATGGCTATGAGGAAGGATCCTGCAAAGTGCATAAATTGATGGTAGCCTGGTGGGGATTCTCCTCAGAAAAGATGCAACAGCACACTAAGCTCAGGACTGGACCGGAAGCAGTAGAGCTCTTCTGCTCTAGATCCGAAGGGACTCCAGGGACTCTCGTCGCCTCATGGCCGATCTCCAGGAAGCTGTAGCCTGGCCAGCCTCAGACACTTGTGAAATTGAAACTAACTCTTGCTGCACTTACAGCTTGCCTCCAAACTGCCACCATGACTGTGATGTGTGTGTAAGTATTGCTGTAAAAATCTATACCAATAAACAATCCTCAGTGCTGCTCTAGTTCACCCTTTGTCTAGGCTTATTCCTTGGCTGTTTTCAAGGACATGTAACACCTACTTCTACTGAATAAAATCAAATTTGAGTGATGAACCTCCAACTCAATTACTCTTCAATTACTCTTCAATATAGTGTGCACCGATCCCCCATTCAACAAAGCACTTAGCGTGTGCTTAAAAATACACATGCTTGAATTGCATTGAATTAAGCACACACTTAAGTGCTTTCCTGAATCATGCCCCATGGGCTTTCCCTGGAAGAAATTATACACTACTCCAGATATTTAGTCTTCTTATATAGAGGGAAAAGACAATAAGATTGCCTCCTCACTATTGAGATTGCAGCCTTATAGACTAGAAATTACTAGCAGACCACTAATTTCTCTCCAGTGATAACAGCATTGTATGTATTCCCTTTCTTCTTTCTAGTTTGAATTTTACCTATGACAAGTATTCTTTCATGATAAATGTTCACCAAAAGAGCCAAGTTGTGCAGCCATAAGTCAGATAAAACTCCCATTGACTTCAGTGAGGGAGTCAGTTTCCAAAACAGAGCTGTTTTCACCAGATTCAAATCCAGAGAAGATATGGACTATCATATGTTGATTTATATAGTGGACAGATGAGCCATCACGGAGATCTGAAGATTCTCTTATTATGACTTGGAGCTACTTACTTCCTTTCCATGGCAATGTCTAAACTACAGGCTTCTTTCAGAAGAAAATTTTTTTGGAAGAGATCTTCCAAAAAACTTTTTCCAAAAGAGAGCGTCCACACTGCAAAAGTGCATCAAAAAAGCGATCTGCTTTTTTGAAAGAGATCATCCCGACCGAATGGACGCTATCTCACATTTCAGCTGTGATTACTATGGACGGAATGGTCACCAGGGCACCTGTGCTTTTTTCTCTTTCCTCTTCTTCTGAAAGAACTCCCTCTTCCCCATCCACACATGCCTTTTTGCAAAAGAGCTCTTTCGCAGAAAGGGTTCTTCCTTGTAGAATAAGGATTACCAGTGCTGGAAAAAACCCTCTTTTTTTTATATATATATATATATTCTTGCTGAAGAACGCAATTGAAGTGTGGACGTTCACCAAGTTTTATCAGAAAAACAGCTGTTTTTCACACAAAACTTTGTAGTGTAGACATACCCCAAGTCCTAACCTGATGCCCTGCCGGCACTGGTTCCGGCCAGCCTTAACTTCGGTTCAGGATCCACTCAGTGTGGATGTGCTATTTCAAAATAGCAAGACACTATTTTGAAATAGTATTTGTGTATAGATCTGTTATTTTGAATTAGCTTAATTCAAATTAACTATTTCAAATTAAGTTAACTCGAATTAATGCTGTAGTTTAGACATACCCTATGACAGACAATTCACGATGTAGTCTCTCCATAGTGCAAAGTCTCCATCCAGCTTGCCACTTGGAGCTGTCCATAGAACTATCACTGCCACTGCTGCTCTCTCAGTTGGCCAGCCAGTCACACCTGGTCTTCACTCCTTTAGATCTGGGCTGCAACTGACTGCTACTGTGCTTTGCAGATCCTTTTATAGCCTTCCTGGCCCTTGATTGCCTGGATCCTCCACAGCTGCTCTAGCCTCCTCCAAAGACTTCTCTATGAGCCTTTTTCTGGCCTCAAGGACTGGTCTACCCCATCCCAGGCAGGTCCCAGAAGCCAGAGAGGCAGAACATCTAGATATTCACCCTTCCTGAATCCCCTCACTTATGCTCACAAAATTTTCTTTTCATTCTATACATATTACTACGCAGAGTATAAAAATAAAATCTTTACTATGTGTAATTTTATTCATTATAACAAACCCCTTTAATTACTCATTTGTGAGTCTTCCATTAACTGAATCATTAACCAACAATCACTTGTGTATTGTATGTATTATAAATGGGACATTCTGCCTCCCTTCATTTATTTTGTTCTGTCTGCCTGATCTTGATTATGTTTCAGCCAGAGTTGTGTTACATTATATCTATGTCTACATACAATCTAAATATCTCCAGATTTGAGAATTCATTTTTAACTCTTTATTTTTAAAATTGTTATCTTGAGTTTTATCCTAGAGTCTCTTGTTCTTATAATTCTCTTCTCACTTTGGCCTAGATTCTGTGGCATCAATGAGTTCCTTCATGTTGAGACCAAGGACTAATTTATACTACAACTTAAGTCAATGTAATTTACATTGCTCAGAGGTGTCTGATGTAATGTAGACCTGCCCTAAGCATAACAGGATCCACCTGTGTTTCTTCACTCTTTTTATGGTACTATTTTTATTGAAATTTCATATTTTCACTTTCTCAAAGAATCATTCATAATGGTGAAATTCAAGCCAACCTGTAAGGCTTGTGAAACAATGACAGGCAGAACTGAACCTCTAGAATTCAGTGCACTAGTCTCTACTGACTGAGCTAAATTCTAGCTGGCTCTCAGCTGAGACAGTAGAGGATACTTATTCTTCCTTTCTGTAAGTGGGCTAAGAGCTACTACATGGTATAATACCCAACACTCAGCAGGTGTATGGGTTACATCTGCATACTATTTAGATTTCTATGGTGCTTAAGTGATGCAAAAGCTATTTGTGGAGTGAGTTTTCTCCTCTTGAGTTCTTTCTTGTGAAATTGCTTATCCAAGAGGTCTTATTCCTAATGTGACATCAGTGAAAACTCAAAATAAGCAGAAGCAGATTTTCAAATACTTTTAAGGACAAGGAAAACATTTGGTTTCTAATTTTTTTCTGACATTCTTTTGTAGTTGTGTAGGCATAAAGTTCATGTCACTGAAATATATTCATTCACAAGCAAGAATTTCTATAGTTACCACACGTCTCCACTTCGTTTCTGTATTTACTCCCTTACAAAAGTAATTTACTGCCTTATATACTCCTCTACCATGAATATCATGCCTTTTATATTTTTCACCAAGGATTCTGTTCAATTAAAGCCATTTCTTGGTATACACAGTATGGAAACCAGTGCAGCAAGTAACCAACAAGCCCCAGGAAACTGGATATTTGGATTATTTGCTATCATTTTATTACACATAAACTTAATTAAAAGATAGGAAGGCTAAGAATAAATTACATAAACATTGAGTCAATGCAATTATTTAAAAGATACAGCATAAATCCTGTTTCTAGCTAGCAGACTGAGAATATTATACTTTTCATCCATTTTACATGCAAACTCCCATTGACTGATATTCACAAATACTTAGTAACAATAGTCAGTTATTATCATGATAATTTTGCTGATGTATTTTCACTTCTTGGGTCCAGTCCAGCATTCCTGGCATGCCTTTGAAATTAGTGGTTGCTCGTGGTGCATAAACAATCAAATGATAGAACTACATTTCCAGAAATGTTAGGAAGTTCTTAGTTAATAGAATGAGAGTTGAATGAGGCTATAGTGAGTAGCACAGTGGAGCAAAAATCTTGGTACATTAAAATAATAATAACAATAATAAAAACAACAAATATCTTGTGAATTTACTATCATGTGAGACTTAGTTTTTGTTGCTACCATTATAATTAACACCTTTTCATTCTGCTATAGATAAACAGCTCATGGTTACCTTTATGCAGTCTGATCTTGCTCTCTTTGAAAGCATGACAAAATCCCCATTCACTTCAACACGAGCAGATTGTGCTGGTAGTATTTTTTTTCTCTCTCTCCTTCCACCCACACTTACATAAGTCATTCATTTTTATGTGGAGAAAAAAATGCATCATACTGGGCCATATTCTGGTCTGAGTTATAGCCAGGTAAATCTGAATTAATTACATCAATGTTAAAGCTTTTACTTGGATTTACGTGGAAGCAACTGACTTAGAATGTGGTTCTGTGCATGTAATTGTAAGTTCTCAACCAATTATTCATTTTGATGTATTCTGTTTCAAATCCAGTTTGCCAAGTCAAAGATTCCAAACCATAATTAGGGACCCTTTAATTCAGTGACACTTCTGGACCCTGTTCTGCAACATGAAGTAACATGAAATTCATCAGTTCTGTTGTGAGGAGATTTGTCCATTACCTAGGATAGTTGAATACAGTATTATTACTCACAGAACATAAAGATTATATACTATAAAAGAAGTAGACCATTAGCCATAAATTACAAAATTAAAAACAAGTGGGATGCATACAAATGATTTATGTTGAATACAAATGATTTATGTTAAATAGCCAGATACCATTGTCAGAACATTTTTACCCAGGAACACCAGCTTTCAGATATTGTTATCTGTTTCATGTAAACAGAATCTTATCGCAATGAAAGGTATAGCACTCCAAGCCATGGACACCAAGAAGCATGCTAGTATAGTGTAGCTTTGAGATGCATAGTGTCTGCATATCACTTTAGGATGCATTTTGTTTTCCTGCTGTGTAGTGAATGGGAAGGAAAACCTCTTTGCTTTGTGATGCCAGGAAACTCCTGGGGAGAAGTGAGAAAGTAGTCCCCGACTTCCACAGAGAACAGGGGCTGTAATTCTGTTTTGTCCATATGTGGACTGTGCAAGGGGAGAGGAAACTATTTCACTCTTCCACACCACTTTGGACTCATGAAAGAAAATGGTATGTTCAGCTTCCACTGATTTTTCCTACACTGCACATACTACATTAGAGTATGTACAGTTAACCTGGGTACTTTGAGACTTTCATAGTTCTGGAATATATCCAGGGTACTTGATTTATGAATATATTTAAATACAATGGAGAGCTGGAGGACTTTGGTGCAGCCACGCCTAGAAATTGAAGACCGTTCTGGATTTTGTTACCAGATGGACAAGCTGTAAGGAGTCGAGAAAAGAGAATAAAACTGATCAGTAGTCTAGAGCAATTCATTAATATGGAAAACTAAGGAGTACTAAATATGAACAGCTTGCCTAACTGATGACTAACTGACAGGAACATAACTGTCTACAAGCACTTTAAGTGTCATAACACTGAGGGGGGATTATTTAACGTGTTACAATAAATTATTAGAAGTTCCTATCTTATAAAAAAAGGAGAAATAGGATAAAATCAAGGAAGGAAAACGTTAGGATGAGAAACATAGTTTGTCAAATTTTACTCTTTTCCCAACAAAAAGTAAGTGTCATTAACCAAATGGGCTTTTAAAAGAAAGATTGGCAAAGCACTTGCAGATATATTGTTGGGAACAAGTCATTTTAGGCAGGGAAATTTCCTGGATACTATAATAACAATCAGGGTACGTCTACATTAACATTAGTTCGAAATAATTAGCATTATTTCAAAATAACTTTGTCTGTGTCTACACAGCAGGCAGTTATTTTGAAATAATGTTGAAATACTGTCATGTTGGAGGACTTCTTACTCCGACTCCTGTAACCCTCATTGTACGAGGAGTAAGAGAAGTTGGAGGAACAGTGCCCTGTTTTGAAATAAGTACTATGTAGATGCTCCCAGTTTCGAAATAAGCTACCAATTGACATAGATCAATTTGGGCATGCCTACACTTGCCCCCTAGTTCGAACTAGGGATGCAAATGAAGCATACCGAAGTTGCTAATGAAGCGGGGGATATTTAAATATCCCGTGCTTGATGAGCATATTCGTGGCCGGTCTCCATTTTAAAATGCCGGTAGCCCAAATTAACTCACCGCATGTAGACGCGGTAGTCCTATCCAAAACCCTTCCCTTGAATTAACTGTTACTCCTCGTGCAATGAGGAGTAACAGTTAATTCAAGGAAAGGGTTTGGATAGGACTACCACGTCTACACGCGGCGAGTTAATTCAGGCTACCGACATTTTAAAATGGTGACCGGATGTGAATATGCTAATGAAGCGTGGGATATTTAAATCATTAGCAACTTCAGTATGCTTCATTTGCCTCCCTAGTTCGAACTAGGGAGCAAGTGTAGACATACCGTTTGTGTAGCTTATTTTTAGTTAAACCCTGCTGTGTAGATGCCCTGTCTGTGTTTTCTGCCTCTAACTTCTTTGATTCAATGATGTAGTTGGATGTGATTTAAACAGTCATGTATGGGAGGAAAAAAGAAAGCACTCTGGAAGAATTCAGAACTTTGTCCACTTTCAGATATATGTACCTTGCCTGTCTCTTAGCATAAACCTGAAGCACTTTGCAGCCACGTTACAGAATGTGTTTTGGAGTTTTTCCAGAAGCTCAGCTTTGAGCCAAAGAGAGAAGACTACATTCAAAAGAACCATTCATAACTGTCAGAAGTTAGCTGTCTGTGAAACTCAAAGTACAGCTGCAGTTTTTTTCCAGATGAGTGACAATTTTTGTGGCAAGCAGAACCTGTTCACTGGTGCAGGAATTTCTGCAATTTTTTCAGAAAAGATTCCCAGTTCCCCAATCCTTGAGCTCTTTTTTTTCTCTCTAGACCTCACATGCCACACATCAGGCCTTAAAGATAATAAATTTATTATGATTAGATTATTTGTAAAAAGATCAATCTTTACAAAAATAATTAATTAAAGTTTTGCATGATGGTCAGTTCTTTCTTTCTTTCTTTCTTTCTTTCTTTTGTAAACAGCAGCTTTTTCTACTGATGCACAAGGAGCATTGGATAAATTCAGCAGAATGGTGGGAGGGCAGCTTCCACAATTCTGCTGATATCGGATAGTCCCCTTATATCCTTGCTTAGTAGGCTCACTCCCTCACATGTTCCCCCTCATAGGTGTGTGCAGCACATTTAATTAGGGTGTGCATGCAGTGAATTTTTTTTTTTTTAAAGGAGAACATTTATTGAATACTCAATCATAACGGACATTATTTTTATTCATCAAACAAATTAAAGAAACTAAAACTTAACTTATTTGTTTTAATTAACAACTAAACTTTACTTAAAAAATACAAACTTCTGCTTCACCCCCAGAATCCCCTGGCATCTGCACCTTCCCTTATCCCTGCACCATCCTGATGCCTCCCTTCCCTCACTGCCCCTGCCCCCTTTTTCCCTGATGCCCATCCCCTCACCACCTCTGTCCCCATTCCCCTCATGCCCCTGTACCCTCACATATGCCTTGCTCCATTCCCGCCTTCCTCATTCCCACCCCTTTTTTCTAGCCTTCTCCCAGCACCTCCCCCTCCTCCCTCTAGCACCAATGCCCTTACCTTTTCCCAGCATCATCCTGTCCCTCCTCCCACTGACACCTCCTCACCTGCCCTTTTCCTCATTGTCTCCACTTGGCCCCCTGGCATTTGTCTCTCTCTTCCACCCTGTCCCTTGGTGCCTTCCCCTTTCTTCTCCTGACCTGGCCCCCTCCCCTCAGCACAAGCCCCTTCCTCTCCCACCCCTTCCTCCTATTTCCCCCCCTTCCTCTACCCTAGCCTACCTTACTTTCGGCTTCTGCCTTCCAGTTTGTGGGGCTGGAGTCTCTGGTCGGGCCCCAGACGTCCCCGCAGCCCAGGCCCCAGCTGCTTCCAGGGCTCCAGAATACTTGCCGGGCCTGGAGCTTGGCAATGCAGTTTTAAAGTCCTGGGCCGTGATGTCACGCCACGCCCGGGCATCTCCCCTCTTACCTGTTGCACGGTGTTTGAGCACACCGCACATGTACTCCCTCAGCCCCACAGTGCCCTGTAGATGGCTGGCGAGCGGCACCAGGGAATTTAAAGTGCGGGGCTGTGGCACTCCATCACAAACCCTCTACTCCTCCAGCAGCCACCAGCTGGCCCTTTGAGACATTAGGGTATGCCTGGGCACACCTGGCACACCCCGTGTGCATGCCTATGTTCCCCCTCTTAATTAGTTGATGCACTGTAAGCGCCACATTCTGTTTTGAGAAAATATTTTTTTTCTATAAAATAGGTGGAAAAAACTAAGTATATCTTTGTGTGGTATAAAGGTTTTACTGCCCTTCGCTGGGGTTAACTGTCAAAATTCCCTTGTAACTTCACTATTCAGAAGTAAAGTGTCAGGATATGTCTACACTTGCCTCCTAGTTTGAACTAGGGAGACAAATGAAGCATACCGAAGTTGCTAATGAAGTACGGGATTTAAATATCCCCTGCTTGATTAGCATATCCGCGGTCGGTCACCATTTTAAAAAGCCAGTTGCCCTAATTAACTCACTGCGTGTAGACATGGTAGTCCGATCGAAAACCCTTCCCTCGAATTAACTGGTACTCCTCATTGCACAAGAAAGGATGGTCATATGCTTAAAGCCATGGTTTCAGGAAGTTTGCTTTCAGTTCTCATTTATCCCACTTCCAGTGTTACCTTGGGGAAGTTATTTAATTTCTTTTACTGTTGATCCACTATCTGCATTTGTTTCTTTTGACTATTTACATTGTAAACTCCTAAGGCAAAGTCTGTCTTTTATCATGTACCAGTACAGTGTTTTGTGCAGTTGAGTCCTGATCTTGGTGTTGTCAGTCAGGCATCCTGGTGGTTTCCTGAAAAGTCTTCTGCTCAGTCAATGATGATAAACTTTTGGCTGCGTGCGTGCATGTGTGAGCTCCCCTGTGTAATGTGTTAACCATGGACAATTAGTCAACTCAACAGACTCCAAGAGAGCCCTAGAGACCACAAATCAGATAAGGATTGAAAGCACCCAGCTAGTTTTATTGCCAAGCAAGGTACAATAACAGACTCACCTCTGTATCACACTGTACATACGTACACCATGACAATGGACTGGCACCCAACTAATACTATGGATTCAGCATTGTCCTCACGGTCAGTTGACTTCCACCTTTTGGGGTGTACTTTTATACACAGGTACAAATAAGTAACTTATCACTCCTGACATATCAGATAGCTACCCTGTATTGCACAGTCACCATCCTTTACCTCACAAAAGGGAGGTTCAATTACTATACATCGTGTTGTCGTCAATTTATACCTGGCCCTGAGCCTAGGTCTGTATGGATGTTATTTGTGGAGTGTATATTGGTACCAAGATGTTTCTTTACAAGGTATTTTGTTACAAGCCTCTGCTTATAGCCTGTACCTACTAACTCTTAGGTATGATTGTTTCTGTAATATCAGACCATTCTTGCCAACTGCTGAGAGCAGGGCCTAGCTCTTGCTCACAGCTTAACTT